ATATATTTAGCAGTCTGAACCCATAATAGCTGACAGTAATTATGTGTGAGTGTATTCATAACCAACCACTTACTGTTTTTTGTTGTTGTTGTTGTTGTTTTGTCGGTCATGGGGCTTGAACTCTGGGCTTGGGCGCTGTCCCTCAGCTCTTCAGCTCAAGGCGAGCGCTCTACCACTTGAGCTACAGCGCCACTTCCAGTTTTCTAGTGGTTTATTGGAGATGGGAGTCTCACAGTCGTTCCTGCCTAGTCTGGCTTTGAACTGCGATCCTCAGATCTCAGCCTCCTGAGTAGCTAGGATTACAGGCATGATCTACCGGCGCCCAGCCACTTTTTTTTTTTTTTTGCAGTCCAGTTGTGGGGCCTGAACTCTGGGCCTAGGCGCTGTCCCTCAGCTCTTCAGCTCAAGGCTAGCGCTCTACCACTTGAGCCACAGCGCCACTTCTGGCTTTTATCTTTTTGATTATGTGGTGCTGAGGAATGGAACCCAGGGCCTCTGGCATGTAAGGCAAGCGCTCTACCACTGAGCCAACTTCCCAGCCCATCAGCCACTTATTTTTAAAAGTATTCTCTCTCCTATGTTCGAGATTGTCTGATGCCCCAATATGTGGTGTAACCACAGAGAGATGACTCAGATGTGTTCTTCATCTTTCAGCAGAACCATAGGTGCCAATAGATAACATAGCCTAGAAACAACATCCCACAATTACCATTACAGTAGGAATGGGGCCAGACATGATAGTACATGTCTGTAATCCAAGCACTTGGAAGGATGAATCAGAAGGATTTTGAGTTCTAGGCCAGCCTGGACTACATGGTAGGACTATGTCTCAAATAATATAACAAAGTATAGCAACACAGAGTAGAAAGATTTGACTGGACATCCGTAAGAAGGGAGGGCAGAGGGACTTTGCTGAAGAGTGATTGTGTGTGTGTGTGTGTGTGTGTGTGTGTGTGTGTGTGTGTTTGTGTTTTGCCAGCCCTGGGGCTTGAACTCTGGGCCTTGAGCTTCTTTTGCTCAAGGCTAGCACTCCACCGCTTGAGCTATAGTGCCACTTCCAGCTTTTTCCATGTATGTGGTATTGAAGAATCAAACCCAGGGCTTCATATATGTGAGGCAAGCACTCTACCTCTAAGCCACATTTGCAGCCCAAGTGTGAGTGTTTTAAATGTTTCTAAAACAAGAGTTAGGAGCAGAGATGGGCATCCAAGCAGTGGAAAGGAATGCAGGGTTGTTCTGGGACCCGTGATTTGTTTGGCTTGAATGAAAGGAATACATAGGGCAGCAGCAACACACAGCATTCAAGGGTAAGAGGAAGTGGCAGGAAATTATCTCTAATCAATCCCAGAAAAAGCTGGAAGTGGCACTGTGGTTCAAGTGGTAAGTGCTAGCCTTGAGCAAAAAGGAGTTCAGGGACAGTGGCCAGACCCAGAGTTTGATCCCCAGGACCAGTAAAAAATTAAAAAATAAATAAAATGAAAACACCAGATAAGGGCTGAAAATGTGACTCAAATGGCAGAGTACCTGTCTAGAAAGCACAAGGCCCTGAGTTCAAGACCCAGTGCTGCCAAAAAAGAAAGAAAAGAAAGCACAAAAAAGGTATAGGCTGGGAGCTGATGGCTTATGCCTGCAATCCTAGCTACTCAGGAGGCTGAGGTCTGAGGATCATAGTTCGAAGCCAACCCGGGCAAAAAAACCCATGATGTTAGGTCTACCAGGGAGAAATGGCTCCTTCCCTAGTTCTCTCCCTAGCACCTGAAAAGTCCCCACTCAGCACCAGTAACCCAGGCAACTAGCAGGCCTGGGGGCAGTGGGAGCCTCCAGGCTCTCATTTCTCTATCCTCTGAGATCACTGTGGCTTCTGCTGTGGTCACACCTCCTCCCCATTTAACCTTTCTCCTCCTGCTATAAACTCTTTTGCTCTGGCTGCCTCCATCTTGTGGGGTTGGCAGTTTGGTCTCTCTGTCTCTGTCTCTCTCTCTGTCTCTGTCTCTCTCCCTCTCTCTCTCAATCAACCCTCTTCCCCTGAACTGTGTGTTAGTTCCCTTTCAGATTCTATGTCCAATTAACCACCAGAAAACCAGAAGTGGCACTGTGGCTCAAAGTGCTAGAGCACTAAGCCTTGAGTGAAAAAGCTCAGGGATAGCACTTGAGCCTTGAGTTCAAGCACCATGAACAATATATATTTCTTTTTTAAAGCAGGGTTCAAATTAGATTCCCCCCCCCCCTGCTGTCTCTGTGTGCATGCACCTGTGAGCATGCACCAGTACTGGGCTTAATTTCAGGACCTGGACTCTGTCCCTTAACATTTTTGCTCAAGGCTAGTGCTCTACCACTTGTGCCACACCTCCACTTCAACTTTTTGGTAGTTAATTGGAAGTAAGTCTCTTGGATGTTCCTGCTGGGGTTGAGTTTGAACACCAAACCTCAGATCTCAGCCTCCTGAGTAATTAGGATTACAAGCCTGAGCCACTGGTGCCCAGTCCAAGTTATATCTGCTTTTTTTTTTTTTTAATACGTCTGTTTTTGAGAGACACTGTGAACCAAGGGACTTCACAGTCAAATAGGACACAAGTTCAGGCCCCACGACTGGACCCCCCCCCAAAAATTGTGAAAGAACAGAGGGGATAGATTTGAAACATTTTTTTTTTGAGCCAGTACTAAGGCTTGAACTCAGAGCTCTGTGCTCTTACTTGGCTTGATTGCTCACAGTTGGTACTTTACCACTTGAGCCATGCTGACAGTCTAATATTTTGCTAGTTAACTGGAGAGATCTTATGGACTTTTCTACCCAGGCTGGCTTCCAACTGCAATCTTCAGGTCTCAGCCTACTGACAAGCGAAGAACAAGTATAAGCCACTGGCACCTGGCTTGGATCAGAATTTTTTTAATATATAATTTTATTGTTATTATTAAGGTGCTGTACAGAGGAGTTACCATTTCATAAGTCAGGTAACAAGACGGACCAGAATTCTTTTTTTTTTTTTTTTTTGGTCGGTTGTAGGGCTTGAACTCTGGGCCTGGGCGCTGTCCCTACACTCTTCAGTTCAAGCAAGTGCTCTACCACTTGAGCCACAGCACCACTTCCTAGACCAGAATTCTTAATTTGCAGTACTGTGGCTTTCCTATCTTTCTTCCTCTTGGGTTCTGTGGAATCTAATCAAGCAACAGGAGGGCTGGCACAGGTACCGCCCCTCTGAGCTAACATTTTAAGGAAGGTGAGATTGGACTAAAGTGTTGGGCTAGAGGGCAGGACTTTGGAATTCTAATCTGTCCTGTGTGTAGTGCTCTCAGGGAAGTTTCTTTCCCTCTTTGGACCTGTTTGCTTACAGGGTAATTTGTACTGGATCCTTAATCAGGATTGTGCATGTAGTTCTTAAAAATGCAAATCCCTGGGAGGAGGGGAGTTTGAGAATATAATAGAGGAACTGAACTTGTTCAAAGTACACTGTACAAGTCTATGCAATTATCACAATGAAAGCCCCCTGTACTATTAATGTATGCCAATAACAAATGCAAATTCTGGCCAGGTACTAGGGGCTCACACTTATAATCCTAGCTACTCAAGAGGTTAAAATCTCAAAATCTTGATTCAAAGCCAGCCCCGGCAGGAAAGTCTGTGAGACTCATCTCCGATTATTCAGGAAAAAGCTAGAAGCGGAGTTGAAAGTGCTAGCATCAAACAACAACAACAACAAAGCTCAGGAATGGTGCCCAGGCCCTGAGTTCAAGCCATGACTACCATGCATGTGTACACACACGCGCACACACACACACAGAAAATTCCTGAGCCCACCCAATTTGTGAGAATCTGAATTTTTTTCTAATTTATTTTTTAGATGGAAGTCAGGGTCTTGTGCTTGCTTAGCAGGCACTCTTGAACTTGAGCGACCACTCTTTATGAGACAGGATCTTAATTATGTAGCTCAGGCTGGACTTGAACTTGGAATCTGCCCACCTCAGGCTCCTGAATGCTGGTATTAGAGGTGTGTACCACCTGGACAACCTAAAACCCTGGATTTCTTTGAGATGTGTTGATATTCTGTTGCATGGTAGGAGTTTGGGACCCTCTGATTTGTGGTCATTTGTGCTTCATAATTCCGTTCCCCAGAGATGGTGTGTGTGTTCTGAATGTGGATATACTATAATCCATCAATGTGGAATTCACACACACACGTACCCGCACACATGCTCCCAGACCTGGCTAAGAATGTCCTGAGACAGGGTTCTTTGGCCTGAAGACTAGATGAGAGAAGGCTGAGGCATCCTCTGCTCCTTCTTACTTATTCCCTCACAAATGTTTGAACATCTACTACAGGATAAGCCCATTTTGGTGCTGGAGGAGACAATAGGGAGCAAAACCAACAAAAATGCCCATCCTCAGAAAGTTTACATCTTAGTGGGCATGATAAAGCTATGGTAATAAACGTCTAAGTGCTGAGCAGAGAAATACAGGGAAAGGTTGGAAACTGACTGCCAGTGCAATTTATTTACTTAGTCGGTTTAGGCCTGAACTCTGGGCCTGGGCGCTGTCCCTCAGCTCTCCAGCTCAAGGCGAGCGCCCTACCGCTAGAGCCACAGCGCCTCTTCCGATGTCTAGTGGTTTACTGGAGGTAAGAGTCTGTCGGACTTTCCTTCCCCGGGCTGGTTTCGAACCGTGATCCTCAGCTCTCAGCCTCCTGAGTAGCTAGGATCACAGGCGTGCGCCGCGACGCGAGCGCAGTCCTGGGTGAGTGTCCCGTGTCCGCCGTTTCCAGGCTCGCGGTGACGTCACAGGCAGCGCGGTGACGCGCCGCCAGGGCTCGCGGCGGGGCCCATGGTCTCCTCTGTGACGGCAGCAGCCGGGCCGGGACACGGGCGGGCGAGAGGGCTGAGTCCGGCCGCGGGGCCCGCCGGCTCGCGCAGGGTCCGCGGGGTCCCGGCGGCGCGCGGCGGCGGCGGAGGGCGGGCCGAGGGCCTGGGCGGCTGCGACAGCGACTCTGACGTCCGTGAGGGGCGGCCCCGGGCCAGGATGCGGCGGAGCCCCCGCCAAGGCTCGACCGCGTCCCCGCACAAGCACACGCCCAACTTCTACAGCGACAACAGCTCACAGAGCGTGACTTCGAGGGACAGCAGCGGGCACCGGTCGGCTGGTCTGGGGCCCGGGAAGTTCGAGGGCAGAAGGACCAAGGGCTCGAGCTGCGGAGAGCCGGCCTTGACCCCAGGAATGCCTGCAGGAGTCCCCAAAGCCGGAAGCCTCCGGCCGAAGCCGACGTCTCGGAGCCACAACGGGCAGACCCCCCGTGGCGCGGCAACCGTGAGGGGCGGGGCCTCGGGTGCGGGCGGGGTCGAACCCGGGGGCGAGAGGGCGGGGCTGGACCCTGCGGGGCGGGGCCTGGCGTGGATCGGGAAAGCTGTCCGGGCACCCGGGGGAAAGTGAGGGCAGTCCATAGACATAGCTTAAAAAAAAAAAAAAAAAATCCCCTGGGGGCGGGCCTCGGTGTGCTGGATGGTCCTGGAAAGGGGCGTGGAATCCTGTGATTGGTCACCACTGAGAAGGCCCCTCAGTGCTGGCGAGAGTGGTTGGCTGCCCGCGGAAGCGGCCAGCACCAGAACCTTGGCTTGGGGCGGGGCTTCTGTTTGAGGCGGGACCAACTACGGATGGTCCTACCTGGGCACACGGCGAGCGTGGGAACCTGGGATCGGGGTAGAAGCCCTTTAGAGAGGCTGTCTGGAGCTAGACTCGGGAGCCTGCGACTGGGCACTGGTGGAAGAATGAGTCAGCGGTACACAAGGCCTCAATGGAGTCTTTGGGCTCCTACAGAGCTTGCGGAGCCTCCTGTAGTCTCTGAGGAACAGCAGCAGCTCGACCTTCTCTCCACTCTGGATCTGAGACAGGAGATTCCTCCCCCGCGGGTGTCCAAGAGTTTCCTGAGTACGGGCCAGGCCGATCCCGACCCCCCAACTCCGCTTTCAGAATCCGGTTACCCCGCCTGAGCCCCTGGCCCCTTCTTTGAGTGTCCAATCCCTTGTCTGGGTCTCAGCTCGTCCTATTGTCCACTCCGCCTCCTGACACTGGACCACCGTGCTCTAGGAGCCGGTCCCCGGGATTCGCCCTCTCTGAGCCGGTCCTCCTTTCTCCAGGCCTCCTCTTCCAGGTGCTGAGCGTGTTGTTATCCCTGGTAGGAGACGCGCTGGTCAGTGTGTACAGGTCAGAGGGAGGGACGGGGGCGGCCCAGGGCTGCTCTTTGGCAAGGGAGGGGAGCAGGGCCGGGCCCGGCTGAGGCTTGAGTCGTGTTCGCAGGAGCTGGGTCTAGGACCCCTGGGGTCTGGGATGGGGGTTGACCAAGGGCCTCCGGCCTCAGCCTCCCGGCGGTTCCTCAGGGAGGTCTGCTCCATCCGCTTCCTGTTCACGGCGGTGTCGCTGCTGGGCATCTTTCTGGCAGGTGAGGGTTGGCGATTCCCTGGGGCCCCAGCTCTACAATTTCACAGCCAAATCCAGCTCCCCGCCTTCCCCTTTGTCACTGGCTCTCTCAGCCCCTTCAAAATCCTTTAGTGCTACCTGGGTCTTACATGGCCGTCCCCAGCCCCAGCCCCAGCCCCTCAGGCCTCCGCCATCTTCAAGGTCTTCCCCCTTCCCCTGAGATCTCTCTCTTTTCTCCAGCACTCTGGTGGGGACTCCTGTATCTGGTCCCTCCTTTGGAGAATGTGAGTTGGGGAGGCTGTGCTGGGGCGGGTGAGGGAATGATGGAGGTCCGTGGGAGCGCAGTGCTAGGACAGATTCCTAGGAAGCATGGGTGAGACCAGGTGTGGAGGAATGGGGCTGATTCTCAGAAAGCAGGTGTGGGAGAGAGGGCTGCACAGCGCTGACGTGCCCCTCTCCCTCACTCCCAACAGGAACCTAAGGAGATGCTGACGCTAAGGTGAAAGGGCTCTTGGGGTGGGAAGTAAGCTGTGTGGAAGTGCTTCTGTGGGGGGGGGGATAGGGAGGGTGCATGGAGACAGGGAGTCAATCGCACAGCGCCCCACTCTCCCCTCCAGCGAGTACCATGAGCGCGTGCGCTCCCAGGGTCAACAGCTGCAGCAGCTCCAGGCGGAGCTGCACAAGCTGCACAAGGAGATGTCCAGCGTTCGCGCAGCCCACAGCGAGGTGAGCACCTGGGAAACCTCGGGTGGGTCGCGCCCACTAGGGGGTTTCAACCTCCAACCCAGATCCTCACCGCCTGTCTCCGAGGCCCCCTCAAAGTCCACACTAGAGCTAAGTTGCCTGCGTGACCACCTGTACACCACCCTACCAACTTGGCCCAACCTCCTGCAGAGAGTGGCCAAGCTGGTGTTCCAGAGGCTAAATGAGGACTTCGTGCGGAAACCTGACTATGCGCTGAGCTCAGTGGGTAAGAGGCGGACTGACCCCTCTCAGCCCTGGGCTAGGCTTAGGGGCGGGCTGAGCGTTCTCTCTGCCTTAGGAGCCTCCATAGACTTAGAGAAGACATCCGACGACTACGAGGACACGAACACTGCCTACTTCTGGAATCGCTTCAGTTTCTGGAACTATGCGCGGCCACCCTCAGTCATCCTGGAGGTGGGCCTGTAACCTGAATCTGGGATGGGACCAAGAACTGGAGCAAGGGAAAAGACCTTAATGAACTTGGTAGAGTCCTGGTTGAGATGAGGGCGTAGCGAGTGTCCAGGATATAGCTCCCTAGAAGCCTAGGCTCCTTAAACCATCTAACAGAGTGTGAAACAGTACTGACATATCTATGCAGGCAGGGACTAGGGCTGAGAGGGATGCTCCGTCACTGACGGATCTGTTTTTGTTGTTGTTTTTGCCTTTGCCTCGGGGTCTTACCAGGTAGCTCAGGCTACCTTCAAACTCACCACCCTCCCGTCTCAACTTCTTGAGTGTCCATGGGTTCTGATATTCTTCCCCCTTTCCCCTGTTTGCAGCCAGATGTGTTCCCTGGAAATTGCTGGGCTTTTGAGGGTGACCAGGGCCAGGTAGTGATCCGGCTGCCAGGACATGTGCAGCTGAGCGACATCACCTTGCAGCATCCGCCAATCAGTGTGGCACACACTGGGGGAGCCAACAGCGCTCCCCGTGACTTCTCAGTCTTTGTGAGTAGAGACAGACCAGGAAGGGGGAGGGGGGTAATTAAAAAAAAAAAAAAAGCCCGGCGCTGGTGGCTCACGCCTGTAATCCTAGCTACTCAGGAGGCTGAGATCTGAGGATCGCGGTTCAAAGCCAGCCCGGGCAGGAGAGACCGTGAGACTCCTATCTCCAATAAACCACCACAAAACCGGAAGTGGCGCTGTAGCTCAAGTGGTAGAGTGCTCACCTTGAGCTGAAGAGCTGAGGGACAGCGCCCAGGCCCAGAGTTCAAGCCCCACGACCGACAAAAAAAAAAAAAAAAAAAAAAAAAAAGCAGAACTGCCAGACATGGTTGGCTCACGCCTGTAATCCTAGCTACTCAGGAGGCTGAGATCTGAGATCATAGTTCAAAGCCAGTCGGGACAGGAAAGTCCATGAGACTCTTATCTCCAATTAACCACCAGAAAACCAGAAGTGGCACTGTGGCTTAAGCAATAGAGCACTTGCCTTGAGCTGAGAGCTGAGGGACAGCGCCCAGACCTATAGTTCAAGCCCCATGACAAAAAAAAAAAAAAAAGCAGAACTAGCCCCAGCACTTGAAACTTTACTTACTCATCTGTAAACTGGACATCCTATCAGGGCACATGACAACTTATGAAATACTAAGGTAACCTCTAAAAGGAGACATTATCTGCTCAGTCACATGCCTAACAACGGACAGACTTTTGATCTAGTCTTTTAGAGCCCAGGTTTTACATTATACATTCTTCTATCAGAACATGCATGAGAGAACAAATATAGCCACTGAACACAGAAGATCCTGGACAAAGTCGTTTTGTCTTCTGCCTGTGCCTCATTGCTCCTCACCTTTCACCCACCAGGGCCTCCAGGTTGATGACGAAACTGAAGTTTTCTTGGGGAAATTCACCTTTGATGTGCAGAAATCTGAGATTCAGACTTTCCATCTACAGGTGTGTTTATCTCTGGGGGTGAAGGTGATAAGGCAATGGGCACTGAGAAGATGGCTGGGGAGGGCAACCTTGAGAGCACAATTCTTGGCATGATCCATTTGTCTTCCCAGAATGACCCTCCATCTGCCTTCCCTAAGGTGAAGATCCAGATTCTAAGCAACTGGGGCCACCCACGTTTCACATGCTTGTATCGAGTCCGTGCCCATGGTGTGCGGACCTCAGAGGGAATGGGGGAAAGTGTCTCAGGGGCCACTGGGGGGCTCCATTAAACATACTGATGATTGGAATAGAATTGAGCTTTGTGCCAAAGAAAGCTGAATGAGTGCTTGGAGGTGTTCTGTTGAGGAGGTACCTAGCTGGCATGTAAGTATGTTAGGACCTACCTTTCAACACATTCTTTCCTTAGAGAAGCCCAGATCAATGTAGAGGCAGATGATGATGTTTATGGAGGGCTTGCCAAGAATAAGAGACAGTTTTTTGGGCTTTCAACACTACTGAGTTCAAGCCCCCAGACTGGCAAAGAAAGCCTCCCCCCCTACAAGATTATAACATCCTTAAAATGCTGGATTATAATCTGTTTAATAAGAAGCCATACAGACATATCAATAATCAGGGAGAGGAGAGAGCCCCTAAGGAACACGGAAAGTGATCAAGAGACTTGTTCAAAGTTGTGTTGCTAATAGAGGACATCAGAATAGGACCTTTCTCCAGGGATAACCCCTTTAACTGTAGAATTGCCAGGCTGCTAAAACCTCACTTGCACTCAAATTCTATCCCAAATATCTGGGAAGTGCTCCAAGGAGTACAGGGGAAACTTTAGGCAGTCAAAAATTAAGGAGACATGAGAAGCCCTAGAAAACTTTTTTGAAGTCACAGAACTGATACAGGCCTAACAGTCATATTTTTTTGTCTTGTTTTTATTTTTTTGCCGGTCATGGGGCCTGAACTCTGAGCCTGGGCACTGTCCCTCAGCTCTTCAGCTCCAGGCAAGCACTCTACACTTGAGCCACAGTACCACTTACGGCTTTTTCTGTGTATGTGGGGCTGAGGAATCAAACCCAGGGCCTCATGCATGCAAGGCAAGCACTCTACTGAGCCACCTTCCCAGCCCAGGCCTAGAAGTCTTTACATAGGTTGTCTACAAAGTCCTTAGTGTCTAGCTCTGTGCTAGACACAGTGCAGGTGACTGTGTTCACCAGATCCTGTTCTCAGGAAGTCAAGAGAAAGAAGATGCTCTGGAAAGCAGAATTATTCACTCACTGATACAAGTAAAATTGAACATGAGCATAGTAGAGTTGGACATGCCAAGAGGATCTCAAATCTGAGGCCAATCTGAGCAAATCTCAAAAAAAAAAGTAGAATTAAAGGAGAAAATTAAACACTATGAAGGACACAAAGGATTAATAAGCTCTACCTAGAGGTGGAAAAGAGAGCTGCATGAGAGAAATATGGGCTGAATGCAAGTGGCTCATGCCTATAGTCTTATTCAGGAAGCTGAGATTCCAGGATCAAGGTCTGAAGCCAGCATGGGAGAAAATTCGGAGAGATCCTTATCTCTAAGTGACAGCTTGAAGTCCTGAATTCACACCCTATGACTGGCACACACACACACAAGAAATATGGAGCCAGGCATCAGTGGCTCACACCTGTAACCCAGCTATTTTAGGAAGCTGAGATCTAAGGACCAAGATTTGAAGCCAGCCTGGGCAGGGAAATCCATGACTTATCTCCAATTAACACCAAAAGTTTGGAAGTGGAGCTGTGAGCTGTGGCTCAAGTGGTAGAGTGGTAACATTGAGCAAAAAACCTGAGACAGGGCTGGGAATGTGGCTTAGTGGTAGAGTGCTTGCCTAGCATGCATGAAACCCTGAGTTCAATTCCTCAGTACCACATAAACAGAAAAAGCTGGAAGTAGAGCTGTGGCTCAAGTGGTAGAGTGCTAGCCTTAAGCAAAAGCAGCTCAGGGACAGTGCCCAGGCCCTGAGTTCAAGGCTCCTGCAAAATGGGATATCTTGAACGTGTAAAATCCTTCTTGGTGTCTGTTTTGGAAGAACCCAGATCCCTACAAAGTAGAACTTGGGAGTATCTAATACTCCAAGTTTTGGTGGATTGGAATACCTACCCATCTGTTTTAAACTTAGGAGATAAAACAAAAGAAGACCATATCGAAAACTTAAGGTTAGGGATAGGGGATATGGCTCAGTGAAAGAGTGCTTGCCTAGCATGTAGGAGACCCCCTGACTGTGACACCCAGTACTGGAAAACAAAAATATGAAATACCTACCAACCCTCTAAGATTAGAAATAGATTAGGGCTAGAGGTGTAAATCAGTGGTAAATCATGTAAACAAAATTCTCTGACATCCTAGTTTTGATCCCAGTTCCAAAAACATAAAAATACTATAGAATACTAATAAAATATAGTATTCAAGACTCCATATGTAGCTCTGTAGTATAGAGTGCTTATCTAGCATGCAGGATAATTGATAATAGCAATCGTGGTAATGATAAAAAGCAGAAGAACCATAGTTTAATAGAATTGTAGCTTAACCAGTGGCTCATGCCTGTAATACTTCTGAGGAAGAGTTCAAAGTTGGCAAGTTTCCATCTCTAGTAACCTGTAAAATGCCAGACAGGAGTCGTGCCTCAAGGGGCAGAGTGCTAGCTAGAACTAGAGAGAAAGAGCATGAAGTTCTGAGTTCAAGCTCTGGTATAGCACAAGAAAAAAAAATAAAAAATGAAAAAACAAAAGACAATGGTATATAGATAGCTTTTTAAAAAGCAAGTTAGGCCAAGTGTGTCCATAATCCTAGCTTCTCAAGAGACTGAGACTAAATATCACAGTTCAAAGCCAACGTAGGCAGGAAAATCAATGAGACTTTTATGTATATTTAACTACCAAAAAAGCCAGAAGTAGAGCTCAAATGGTAAGTACCAGCCTTGAGCAAAAAAGCTACACCTGGGCTGGGAATGTGGCTTAGTGGTAGAGTGCTTTCCTAGCATGCATGTAGCCCTGGGTTTGATTCCTCAGTACCACATAAACAGAAAAGGCCAGAAATAGTGCTGTGGCTCAAGTGGTAGAGTGCTAGCCTTGAACAAAAATGGCTCAGGGACAGTGCCCAAGTCCTGAGTCAAACTCCAGTACTAACGAAAAAAAATAAATAAGTAAATAAATAAAAATCTGTAAGTTACACAAGCATAAATCAAAATGTAAATTTTGTTCTATAGACAGCCAGGTACCACTGGTTTACATCTGTAATCCTAGCTATTCAGGAGGCTGAGATCTGAGGCTCACAGTTCGAAGCTAGCCTGAGCAGGAAAATCCATGCGACTCTTATCTCCAATAAACTACTCTGGTCTTTTCTGTTTATGTGGTACTGAGGAATCAAACCCAGGGCTTCATGCATGCTAGGCAAACACTCTACCACAGATTTTTTTCTAGCCCAGCTACTCTTATCTCTAACCAGCAAAAAGCTGGAACTGGAGGTCTGATGCAAGTAATATAGCACCAGCTGTGTGTGTGTGTGTGGGGGGGGGGGGAGTGCAATTCAGAGCCCAAGGTCCAGAGTTCAAGCTCTAGTTACTAGCACAAATAATTTACATGTCTAAGAACAAATCCTTTGGAAATATCCCAGTAAATACACAAAGATCAATGTATAAAAGGATCCCCACTTTTTAATACAAATCCCTATAAATAATGAATTAGCTAAATAAAGTTGGGCACACTCACATGAGAAAATAATATGTAGGCATTAAAAAGAATGAGGTACAGGCGTGAGCCTGTAATCCTAGCTACTCAGGAGGCTGAGATCTGAGGATCACAGTTCAAACCCAGTCCCTGAGACTCTTTATCTCCAATAAACCACCAGAAAATCGGAAGTGGTACTGTGGCTCAAGTGGTAGAGCGCTCCCCTTGAGCTGAAGAGCTGAAGGATAGCACCCAAGCCCAGAGTTCAAGCCCCACGACCAACAACAACAACAAAAAGAATGAGGTGAGATGGCAAGTTCTGATGAATAAGACACTAAAAATAGATTAAATAAGGACAAAATACAAATATCCTATTTTGTTATTTGTTTTTGCAGTGCTAGGGATTAAACCCAGGGCTTCACAAATGCCAGGCAAACACTTTACAACTGAACTACATCCCCAGTGACTTCCTCATGCTCTATTATCTATTTTACTCCCTTTTATTTTTTTTTTGTCAGTCATGGGGCTTGAATTCTGGGCCTGGGTGCTACTAACTGCAATCCTCAGATCTCAGCCTCTTGAGTAGCTAGGATTATAGGCACGAGCACCAGCGCCCAGCTCCATTATCTATTTTAATATTTTATTTGAAATGTCTGCAAATTTGCACTAGTACACATTTTAAATTTAGAAAACATAGTATGTATATAAATGTACATAAAGAGTAAAAGATTTGTAATAAACAGGTTTTTTTTTTTTTGTAGGTCGTGGGGCTTGAACTCTGGGCCTGGGCGCTGTCCCTCAGCACTTCAGCTCAAGGCGAGCACTCTACCACTTGAGCTACAGCATCACTTCCGGTTTTCTGGTGGTTTATTGGAGATAGGAGTCTCACGGTCTCTCCTGCCCGGGCTGGCTTTGAACCGCGATCCTCAGATCTCAGCCTCCTGAGTAGCTAGGATTACAGGCGTGAGCCACCAGCGCCCGGCGTAATAAACAGGTTTTTAGGAGTAATAAACAGGTTTTTAGGAGTTTTGATATCAGAAGTTCAAGATTAGCCTGAATGATATGGCAAGACTCCCCCTACCCACACAAGAAAAATCTCTACAATGAAAAAACATTTTTTTTTTTTAAAGAGCCCAAGCACTGGTGGCACATACCTGTAGTCTTAACTACTTAAGTGGATAAGATCCCAGATCAAGGCCAGCTAGACCTCTTACCTCTAATTAACTGGTAAGAAGCCAGAAATGGAGATGTGGTTCAAGTGATAAGAGTGCCAGCTTTGAGCAGAAAAAGCCAAAACAACGTAGAGCCCTGAGTTCAAGCCTCAGTACTGGCATTGCATGTGCTCATGCATACATACGTGCGCGCGCATGCATGTGCACACCACACACACACACACGATTCCCTCCTCCCTTCCTCATGAATCTAATTGAAAAATAATTAAAATTCAGGATTATAAACTAGGTGTGGTGACACATGTCTAGAATCTGAGTGTTCAGAGGCTAAAGCAAGAAAATTTTGAGTTCAAGGCCAAACCTGGGCCAAGTACCATAGGCTAGCCTGAGCTACACGTACACGGTAAGACCTTATGTTAAAACAAAAAAAGG